TCCCAGATGAGGAAAATCTAAAGGAACTCATTATCACCAAATCAGCATTACAAGCAATGTTAAAAGGACTACTTTAAGTAAAAGAAAGAAAAAAGGAACATAGTATAAAGAATAAAATGGCAAAAAAATACAAACCTATCAATAGTCACCTTAAATGTAAAGATCATAAGTGCTCTAATCAAAATACTTAAGGTAGCTGAAGGGAAAATAAAACAAGACCTGTACATATGCTCTCTACAAAAGACCCAACTCAGAATAAAAGACTGAAAGGAAAAAATATAGAAACACTTATTTCATCCAACTGAAAATTTAAAGAAAAGCTTGGGTAGCAATACCTAAATCAGATGAAACAGACTTTAAAACAAAGGTTGTAGTAAGAGACAAAGAAGGACACTAAATAATAATAAAGGGATCAATCTAATGAGAGAATCTAACTGTTATAAATATTTACGCACTTAACAGAAGAGCACCTTAATAAAAGGAGGGGCAAAATAGGTTTTAAGTTGTTTGTATGGAAAATAATACAATAATAATAAATAATAATATAAGAATAAACTCTGTCTCACATGCTAACAACTGTAAACCTACATTGTCCCATCCAGTATGTAAAATAAATCTTGATAGACATAAACGAAGAGATTCACAGTAATACAGTCATAATAGGGTGCTTTGACACCACACTGACATCAGTGGACAGATCTTCCAGACAGAAAATCAACAAGGAAATAGCAGCCTTAAATGAAACCTTAGATCAGTTGGATTTACTTGATATTTTCAGAGCATTTCACACCAAAGCAGCAGAATACACATTCTTTTCAAATGAACATAGAAAATTTTCCAGGATAGACTACATGTCAGGACACAAAACAAGTCTTAATAAATTTAAGAAGATTGAAATCATATCGAGCATCTTTTCTGACTGCAGTAGTATGAAACTGGAAATACATTACAAGAAAAAACTGAAAAACACACAAACACATTAAAGCGAAATAACTTGTTACTAAACAATGAATGGATTAACAATGAGATCAAGAAAGAAGTAAAATGTTACACTGAGACAAATAAAAATGTACATACAACTTTCCAAAATCTATGGGACACACCAATAGCAGTCCTACAAGAGAAATTTACAGCATTACAGACCTACCTCAAGAAGCAAGAAAAGTCTCAAATAACCCATCTAACCTTACACCTGAAGGAACCATTAAAAGAATAAACAAAGCCCAAAGTGAGTAGAAGAAAGGAAATAATTAGAGCTGTAATAAATGACATAGAAACTAAAAATAATAATATAAAAGATCAATGAAACCAAGGACTCATTTTTAAAAAGATAAACAAAATGAAAAAACTTTTAACCAGACTAATCAAGAAAAAAGAGAAAACACACAGCATCTAAAATAAAAGAAGAGAAGTAACAACTGACACCACAGAAATAAAAAGATTATAAGAAAATATTACACAGAATATGCCAACAAATTGGGCACTGTGGAAAAAATAGATAACTTCCTAGACAAATAAAATAAATCTTCCAACACTAAATCAAGAAGAATCAGAAAATAAGAACAGACTGTTTACAACTTATAAAATCAGAACAGTAACAAAAAAAAACTTCCAGCAAACAAAGTACTGAACTTGATGGATTCTCAGGAGAATTTGATCACACTTTCAAATTAAAACTAATACCTCTCCTTTTCAAACAATTCCAAAAACTTCAAGAGGAGGGAAGATTCCTAAGATCATTTTACAAGGCCAGCATTATCTCAATTCCAAAACTAGGTAAAACACTACAAAAAAATATATATATATAGGCCTATATTCCTGATGAATATCAATGCAAAAATCTTCAACAAAATATTAGCAAACTAAATCCAATGATAAGCTTGAAAAATCATACACAATGGTCAAATGGGATTTATTTCTGGTATGAAAGATTGGTGCAATATCATCAAATCCGTTAATGTGATTGGTATACCACATAAAAAATTAAGGGTAATAATCATATGATCAAATCAATTGATGCAGAAAAAAACATTTGACAAAACCCAGAACCTATATATGATTAAAAAAACTCTCAGGAAAGTGGGAATAAAGGAGTCATACCTCAACACCAAAAGCCATATATGCCAAACCCACAGCCAGCATCATACACAATGGAAGAAAACAAAAAGTGATTCCCTTCACATCTTGAACAAGACAGGGATGTCTGGTCTCACCATTGTAATTCAAGATAATACTGGAAGTCCTAGACAGCTATCAGACAAGATGAGGAATAAAGGCATTCAAATTAGAAAGGAAGAATTAAGACTGTCATCATCTGCAGCTGACATGATATCCAGAGAACTCTAAAGATTCCACCAAAAACTACTAAAGTGACCAATGAATTCAGTAAAGCAGTAGAATACAAAATCAATATTAAGAAATAAACATTTTTATACACCAAAAATAAACTATCTGAAAGGGAAACAAATAAAACAATGTCATTTAAACTACATCAAAAAACAATACCTGGGAATAAATTTAACTAAGGAGAGAAAAGACCTGTACCTGGAAAATTATAAGGCCCTGAAGAAAGAAACTGAAGAAGATACAAATAAATGGAATCATGTATCATGTTTATAGATAGGAAAAATTAAACAGCTACCATAAATAAATTGGTAAACATTAAGTGTTGGCGAGGATTTCCAGGAAAGAGAGCCCTCATGCACTGTTGGTGGGAATGCAGATTGGTGGTATAGCCACTGGAAAACAGTGTGAAAATTCCTCAAAAAATTAAACACAAACTGCCTTATGACCCAGGGATTCCAGCTTTGGTTATATATCTGAATAAACCCAAAACACTAATTGGAAAGAATACATGTACCCCGTGTTTATTGCAGCATTGTTTATAATAGCCAAGGCATGAAAACAACCCAAGTGCCCATCGACAGACATGTGGATGAAGAAGAGGTACTACATATATACAATGGAATATTACTCCACCATAAAAAGAATGAAATGTTACCATTTGCAACAGCATGAATGGACTTCCTAAAGGATATTAATGTAAGTGAAATAAATCAGTTGCAGAAAGACAAATAACATAATTTCATTTATCTGTGGAATCTAAAGAACGAAATAAGGAAACAGACAAAACTGAAAGAGACTTACAGAGAGGGCAGAGTGGTGGGAAACTGGGTGACAGAGATGAAAGAATTAAGAAGTACCAATTGGTAGTCAGAAAATAGTCATGAGGATGTAAAGCACAGCATAAGTTATATAGTTAATAATATTGTAATAAGTACGTATGGTGCCAGGTGGGTATTAAAAACATAGGGGGAACACCTTGTAAAGTATATCATTGTCTACCACTATGCTGTACACCTGAAACTAATACAAAATAATACCAAAGGTAAACTATAATTGAAAAATAGAAATTTAAAATTTAAATTAAAATGCATAAATCTAAGAGTAGGGATATATCAAATGAGGAAAAAAGGGCAAGCCACGTGGATGAAATGGTTGATTTGTTTGTTTTACACATATGGTGAAAATAGGTAAGAGAGAAGTTTTTATAATGGACGACATAAACTATCCAGATATCTGTTGGAAACCTTATGTGGCTGAAAGCAAAGTACCTGATATATTCGTAATCTGCCTCAGTGGCTATTTCATCTCCCAGATTGCTGCAAAAGTGACCAGCAGCAAAATGAGTCCTAGGAACCTTGGAAGAAAGGCATTACTATGTTATCCCATTCCCTCATCTGACCAGTCTCTTGAGTGTCATTATATGCAGAGCACTGTATACTCATTTACCATAAAGATTAATTATATTTGGTTTGTGCTGTCAAGAAGCCCACAGTTAGAATTGAGTGACATGAACATCATAAAATACTGTTCGATTAATGCAGTAATGGATATATTAACCAACTGTTATAAGAAGCACAGAGACAAACAATCTGGGTTTTATGCATAATATCTAAGAAAGGGAAGAATGGGAATAGTGAGACCTCTGCCTTAAATGCTGAGAAGGCACATTTTCCAGTCAATGTGAAAGGGAGGTTTATGAAGCTTTAAAACCTGCCTTTGTCAGAGAAATCCTAGAAATCAGTGAGGTTGCCCAGGGAACTTTTTAGTAATAGCTCAGAATTTTAAAGAGCATGTATACAAGATGAAAAAGAGTCCCCTTAGAGATAAATTATGCCACAGACCAGTGAGGAAAATGTAAAAAGTCTAACATCATAAATCAGCTCCTCCAAAATGCTAAGCCGGAGGCTGGCTTGTTTGTGCCCAAGTTGTGCTCAGAGCAAAGCTTTGGACAAGGAGTGCTGGGCCTGCTGCTTTTCTGCAGTCCTTACACTTGGACAGGAGTGCACAGAACTCCTCAGCCCCTACTGGCTTCTCTATTCACGGTCAAGGGGATGAAAAGGTGGGAAGGATAGAAAAGAGGAACCGAGAGCTACACAAGGAGAGAGACTGTAGGAGAGCCACCAAGTTCTCGAAATGCTTGCAGGACTTGAACTCCCAAACCATGCAAGAGCCATAGGAAGACTGGAGGAGGAAGAGGCCAGAGCAGGCAAATATCATCCTGATCCCAAACAAGGGAAGGAGGCCGCTTAGATAACAGTACCCCTTCAGATGCCTGATCTGCACTGGGTGTGTGTTCTCTCCAACAGACAGAGCAACTGCCCAGGGCCACATTGCAGTGGCCGGCCCAGGGTTTGTGTGCAGGCACATGCTCTGCCCAGCAAGCTCTGACCTTCCATTGGTGGAAGGTCCCATTCTAGGCCTGGTGCAGAATATGGTGCCTGTGACTTGGGAAGATTGCTTTTCTCTGAGGCTCAGTCTTTTCACCTGTAAGATGCAGGGACAAAAAAATCTCCAGGGCCCTCTGCGCCAACATCCTGCCTATGCTTTTCCGTAGATTCTGAACCTGATTCAGCAGCTATCTGACTTGCTGATCTAAGACCCCTGACCTCCCATCCCCACAGCCCCTTCCTGGGGTCTGGCCTGTGACTACTCACCAGCACAGTGTGCTTATAGGCCCTGTGAATCACTATGCTGTAGCCAAACACGGTCACATCCACCTGCTTGACCCACAAGGCCAGTGATGGGTCCCGGTCCTCATTCTTGGCTGTGACGATAAACTTGGGGAAAATGTCTGAGCTTGGCCTGTTTCCTGTGGTGCACAGGATGAGTGGACAGCTGGTCTGGAAGTCAAAAGGGTAGCCATCAAAGGTGAGGTAGTGGCCATAGCCGGACACAATGCAGGAGGCGTCGGTGCGGGCCTGGCAGTAGTATAGGCCACCTTCCTCCATACAGTACTCGTCATCCTTGCAGGGGACGGTCTCACAATGGACGCTGTTGTCTGTGCCGTTGCAATAGCAGAAGATCTGGCAGTCCAGGTCTACCCAAAAGGTCTCATTGGTGGCAAGCTGGTGCCCCTCAAAGTTGCAGCCACACTCACTGCGGGTGACACACTGGCTGCCTTGCAGGGCATAGCCTTCATCACACTGACATCCCTCAGAGCAGCTGTCCACACAGATGGGGCCCAGGGCCAGGGTCTCACAGGTCTCCGTGCACGTCACACATTCCTCAAAGTGGCTGTTCTCCGGGCACTCCAGAGCTGAGGGTGGTCAAGGAGAAGACAGGCTTGAGAAAAGAGCAGAGGTCACAGACAGAGTGTGGGTGCACTCATTAGCACACGTATGTGTGCCTGTGCATGTGTGGGTATGCCGTGTACATTCTTATGGAACAGCACAGTGAGCTCAGTCAATGCCATGCCATCTTACTGGGGTCCACAAATGCTTGGGAAACCCCTTGCTCATGTGTGCCTCAGGGGCATTTAGCTTCCCACAGAGAAGATGCCAAGACTGTGAGCCTGTATGGAGCGCCTGTTACATGCCAGGCACTGTGCCAGGCACTTTAGTGTAACTTTTCTCAATGACCTAGAAGGTGAGGGAAGTCTTATCCTTTTTGGCTGAGAGATGAGGAGGCTGAAGGTCAGTGACTTAACCTTACTGGAGAGAGATCTGGACCTGGATCTCCCCACATGAAGACCCTGGGGAGAGCGTCCTATAAGAACAGATGCTGTGGACACCATGCCCAAGCTTTAGTTTCTTCTTTTATGAAATAAGGACACAGCCTACTTGTTCTGAGAATTGATAAACCAATACAATAAGTGCACAGTAGAGTCTCAATGCCCTATGCCTTCTTCATACTTTCTTCTATAGCCTTTATAAAGGCATTTTTACTCTGCAAATCTATCTTTCCCTTTGACTTTCACCTCTCTTATCTGCTGCTTCCTGGCCTCTTCCATCTCACCACCCTCTGCATGAGCCTCTACCTCCTTTGCTTATGCTCTTTCCCTCACCTGGACAGCCACCAAAAAGCTAAATCATACCCATCCTCCTGGACAGCCACCACAGAGATAAATCATACCCACCCTTCAAATTTCATTTCAACTGACACTTCTGCCCAGAAGCCTTCCTTGAGAGGTCAAGTCTCTGGGTCACACAGCACAACACATAAAATAATAACAGCACCTGCTGCTCATCATGGAGTTCCAGGCAGTCTTCCTGTTCTCTTTATTAGATAGCTTGTCAAAATTTGACATGGGCAGGGAAGAATCTGGGAATACAGAAGAAATCTACCTAAAAGTCTGTTGTCTAAAGATTGTGACAGTCCACACCATCTCCAAGGAGAATAAGATCTTGCCTTTAAAACTTTTTTCAAAGCTCTTGTGCATTCTATTACTCCTTAATAATGTCTTAGAATCCAAGGACATGAAGGATGATACAAACAATTAAGTGGCATGGCAATAATAGCTCTGCCCACAAGTACCTGCTCAGCAGTCCTACAGCAGGCGGTACTGAAAGCAATCATTTTTTCCCTCTGGGCCAAAGGACCACCCCCACTTCCTCTGAGTACAATACCATACAGCACTGGAGTTGAAGATGAGTCCAGCACTAATTAGTATGTCTGCATAAAGGGATTTTCACATTTGTCTCTAAGTTATGAATGTTTACAACAGTGACTGTAAATTTATAGTAATAGCAAACAACATGACTTATTTAACTATATCTCACTTTGTGAGTTTCTGTGTTGTCTGAATTTATCTGAAAGTCTGGGACATACAAATGTAAATAATAAATATCCCCTGAACCCAGAAATGCCTCTGTGAAATTATTTTAATAGCAGCTTGGCTCTGCCAATAAGAGGTCTGGTTAAATACATCTGAACAGAAACCATGTTTGTCTGTCTCTAAGTCTAAAGAAGATTGTGTTCCCGCTTTGAAGCTGGTGGCCCAGTCTAATCCCCACTCCACAAGACCCCAACCAGATGAACTCCTTAGTGTCCAGTGACTGGATGAATCGAGTGTGCACATTCCAGTTCTTCTCCCCAGACCCACACACACAGGCGTGGGTGAGACATCCTGGAGGGGTTCTGCAACGTGAGCCCTAGCCCTTCTCCAAAAGGAGCCATGTTCCTGCCCACATGTCTGTATAAAAGCTGCTCCCAGGAGCTTCCTCCAGCTCTGCAGCCCTGAGAGGAGTGGTGAGAGACTCATCCCTGTAGCCATCACATCCAGGAAAAGAGGGTCTCCTCACCGCCCCACTGCACTCATGTCATACAAACAATGTCTCATGTCGCGCAAATACTTCCTGCTGGGCAGGAGGTCAGCGTCTAGCAGAAGGGCACAGACGTGGCCTGCAATGAAAGGACCTGGTGTGTGGCCACTCAGGGACTCCATGTGTACAGGAACTACACCTGGAAGACTGAGGGCTGGTGTGGGAACAAAGGTCATATTAGATAAGCTGGAGAGAGCACAGAGGAGCAGGAAGGGAAGTGGATTAAAAGGAAGGTTTTGGGAAAGTATTGCATGGTCTGACGAAAGGCAATGGTCAGTGGATCCCTTGGAAGCTCTCTTCCTGTGGGTGACCATGGATAGTGTGCACCCAAAACTCCAGCTTTAAAACTCACAGCATCTGCTCTTAATTCCTCCCAAGTGCAGCTAAGCTTCACCAGGTATCCAACTGCCCTTTTCCGAGATAACAGCCACCAAATACTCCATGTGCGCCTCCAACTCCTAAAGGTCAGAAACCAGATATTTAAAGACAAGTGTGTGAGTGTGTGTGTGTGTGTGTGTGTGTGTGTGTGTGTGTTAGTTTTTAGCTCTGAGATGCTTCTGTTGAAAGGTCTTGGAGATAAAGCAAGACTGCTCCGACAACAATGGGTACGCCTCCCACAGATCTTGATTTCTGATGCTTTCCTCACCAAAAGAAACTGGGGCTTCTTGGAGTAATGGCTGGTCTTAGTCTGGGACTAGGGAAGGTTAAGAGACGAATGTGCAATGTTTTCTTAATGCCACAAAGTAAGAAAATGACAGAGTTATGCCAAAAGGACACAGGAGGCAACTTGAAGAAGTTCCCACAGGCCCAATGTAGAACCATTTTAACATCAAAATAATTAAAAATGTAATGTGAAATATAAATAATTGAAATAATTAGAAATCTGTATATCTATATTGAGGAGCGATAGATGGTTGAGACAGATAGAAAGCTGAATGGATGAAAGGCAGGCAGGCCAAAGAGAAGGGAAGGCTTCTGTTCACAGCAGAATGGCCTCTGCTGACTGGCAGAGGTGAGAGCATTACAGAGGGGACAGCCATCAGTTTGCAATCATTGTGCTACAGATTGACGTAAGAAACATTATCAATGGGCACTAAATTGATAAGGGGGTTTGAATGACATGCAGGATACTTGTATGGTCTTAAAGTGTCTCCTAGCAATATTACTCATTTGAAAGCATCTTTGACCAGGGTATCAGTCTGCTTGTGACCCACGAGAGGAGACTGGAAAGAGGGTGCCCCTCATGGGGCATGGTGCTGTCAGGCAGACGCCCATCACCCAGGCAAGAGTCTGAGTGCAGACATACAGCAGAACCCAGTCACAAGAAAATATTAAACCCAAACAGAGGGCCACTCTCTTTTTAAAAGAGGAGGCTGTATTCTTTAAAAATGACAATGTCAAGAAAGATAAATAAAGCTAAGGAACTATTCCAGATTAAAGGAGGCTAAAGAGACATGAAAGCCAAATGCAGTGTGTGGCCCTGGACTGGATCTGCATCGAGGGCATAAAAAGCCATGAAGGACATTGCCAAATCAGTTGTAAAAACTGAACTATGGATGTTAAATTATTGTGTCAATATTAAGCTTCCTAATTGTGATTCTGTAAATGAGTATCATTCTTTTAAAGAAGTACACACCAAAGTATTTAGCAACAAAAGGCACAATGCATACAACTTACTTTCAAATGGAGAAAGAGTGAGAGAGAATAAAAAGCATATGGGACAAAATGATAACAACAGGTTAATCTGGGTAAAGGGTACACACATATTCTTGCAACTTTTCCATAACTTTGAAATTATTTCAGAATAAAAAGTTTTTTAAAACAAACAAACTTAAGTAGGAAGAAATAAACAAATATAGAGGATGTAGTCTTAATGGTGGCACTGGTTCCGGTTTAGTGTGGAACGTTTTGGTGAAAAAGGGATGGGTGCTAAAGTCGAGGTGGGGCAGTCCTTACTCCAGGCATAGCCCCGCCCTCCCAGCCACTCCTCCTCTGGGTTACTTGGTGGCCTCCCAAGTAACCCAGAGTGTCTCATGCCAGGTCTTCTGATTCCTGAAGTACTTTCACTGCCTTGCTGAGAGGGGTCAGATACTCTGGGGACAAAATGAAAAGAAAAAACAGCAGTATGAAATTGTCTTAACAGCCTTTGCCAAGTTTGCCCCAGAGAGCAGTGCTAACCTCTAGTTCATGAAAGGCAGCCTGAATGATCACCTTCTACTAAACTGAATTGGATCCTTCTTTGCCAAAAAATGAAGGCACCAAGGGAGCCTCTGACAAGATATGTGTTAGATAAAACCACGAGGCAAAAAAGTGGCTAATTGTTCTACAGTGAAAAGATCTTATGCAATTAGAAACAAAAAATGTGGGTGAGAAACAGTTTGGTTTAGGGTAATGGGCCTTCCGGAGGACACGTCAGACCAGGGAAGATGCACTGAGGAATCGGACTGCATCAGGAAGAGGAATCCTGAGAAAGCAGACCCAGTGTCTCATGTACTTCCCCACCACCCAGCTAGCTGCCCCCATACTGTAGCCCCAACTTACGGCAGAAGTCGTAAGTCCGCCAGGGGCCAACCTCCACGTCAGCATTCTTGCAGGCGCTTGCGTACCGGGCCACAGAGTCACAGAGCTCTGATTCATTGCCTCCACTCTGGCACAAGCGAAAGAGGCAGGTGCGGTAGTAAGCGGTGACGTTGACCACTCCATGGCACTCTAGGAAGGAGCTGTTGGAGGGGTCATTGATGATGCCACACCTGGAGCGGCTCCGATAAAATTTGAGCAGCTCCGAGTCATTGTTACAGGCCTTCAGCAAGTCCCCACACTCCCCATTGCAGATCTCCTCAAAAGTTGTCCAGCTTTCCAGGAACACAGCCAGGTTGTCTGTGCATTTGCCATTGGGGAGACAGAACTCATCACTGGCATTAGCGTTGAAGAAGCCACATAAGCCCCCAGTGCAATTGAAGTAAACAGTGGAGAGCCGGATGTAGAGCAGGCCTGTGTCTGAGTACTGGACACTCACAATACCCTTGGACTCTACTGTTGTGCTGTTTTTGTTTCGATGAATTTCCAGCTTCCCCGAAAGATGGAAAAATGGTAATTCCACTTCCTGACCATTCACCTGAAAAATAAAATCACTATCATCAGGTGCAGCTGCATACAATTTTCATGGCTACAGGGTGAAGGGATGGCTTGGCACCAGCACTAGCGCTGAGAAATGTTGAGAAGCCGACCATCTGTGGAAACCACACAGACAGACAAAAACTGTTTCTTCATGAGCATCTTTGTTGTTTTTAGACTCCTCTGACTCAACATATTTACTGTTTATTTCCATATGTACAAGACTGTAAGCTGACCCAAAGCAAAACTGAAACGTGAACAAGCTGTCTTACATGTGTGGCTTCCCCCGCTGCCTCACACCTTTCCATGGATAGAGCCCTTTCTCCCCCACATTTCTGGCTCCTCCTTTTCCCTTTAAATCTTATTGTGCCTGTGTCCTAGCCCCTTGGGGCATAAACCATATATCTAGTTATCTAGCTGTCCATCCACCTGTCTATCTCCTTCTATTCTTTTAATGAACTAATCTCTGCCAGTGTATCAGTAGAAATGAAACACAGCCCTTTCAGTGTGTGGATGTGTTTTATCATATCCTTGTGCAGCACCCCTTTGACTTTTGTTTTCTAAATTGAGTTTGATGTGATGTCATTGAATGCACGGTAGATTGGGAAAAGGAAGGCCTGCCCTCTGTTATCCCAACTCCACTGTGACCTGGCTGTGAGGCCACATTCCTAAGGTAGCTTTTTGGGATCTTCATATGAAAACAAGGAGTTGCACTAAATTATTCCTAAGATGCCTTCTAGAACTATTGATCGATGAGTCTAGATGCCTTAGCCTGGGTATTTTAGAGCAGATCAGAGGGACAAGGGGCACCATGGCAGGCACCCTTGGCATTACCCCATACAGATTCCCATTATAGGTAGGAGAGTTGGTATAGTACAGGGTACAGGGCATAGACTCTGGAGCCAGCCTGCCTGAGCTTGACTACCATCTGTGGCTGTGTGTCCCTGAGGAAGTTACTAAACCTCTCTGTACTTCAATTTTCTTATGTGTGAAATGAGGATAATACTGGGTAGAATTAAATGTGATATTGCTCAGAAGAGTGCCTGGCACATAATAAGCATCCTGTGAGTATTTACTATAAAGGAGAGGTAGTTCTTCTATATCTAATTTGAGAAATTCCACCTTCACTCCATGCTCCACCTGTTGGACTCTTATTTAGTGATCATAATGTTTTTATTTAGGAATCATCGTCTTTCTAGAATCCACTCCTAGTCAGAGGCAAAAAAGCAAACCTGAAGAACATGGTTCCTTCATTTGTGTGACTCATGGGAAACCCTCAAGGGCAGCAGCAGCCTCACCTTGACTTCTGAAGCCCCTATTCCTCCGATCTTGACCTCCTGGTTGGCCACCAGGATCCGAAGGCCTCGAAGCCAGGCAGGCCCTCCATCAGGCTTCTTCTTATTGATGTCGATTTCTAGGTACTCTGGTTGCTCCGGGCAGGTCTTGAGCAGCGTGTAGGAGAACTCAGAGGGGAAAGCATATGCGGCCCCGTCAAAGGTGTGCAGCACTTGGTTCTGGCTGAGCAGGCACACAGTCTCCCGCTTGGGGAAGCAGCCACGGTAGCCGTCCTCCACGGTGCACACCTCCCCACCCCGGCAGGTCTTGTTGAAGCAGTATACATCACCACCCTCCTCACACAGGCACTGCACGGTGCAGTTGGCTGTGGCCCAGAAGAACTCCCCCATGGTGTAGTAGTGGCCGTCGAAGTCACAGCCACACTTGTGCAGCGGAACACACTGACTGGTGCTGAGGACAAAGCCCTCGTTACACTCGCAGCCCTCCGTGCATGGTGTGGCGCAGTTCTGAGAGGCTGTGAGGTCTGAACACGTGTCGGGGCAGCTGCTGGTGCACACGGAATAGTGGCTGAAGCTCGGACACTGGACCGTGGACACTGATGTGAGGGAGAGAAGGGAGTATGACAACAAGGTCAGTGACCCAGGCACCAATGGCCAGTAGCCACAATGCACAGGAGCCAGGAGGAGAAGAGCTCCTTCCATACAGCTCCTAGATGGAGGGCCAAGCAGCCACTCCTTTGAAGAACAAAGACTTGAGGTTATGTCTGTAGAAACAAGCTCAACTGCTTTCCTATTAACTACTGAGCAACACGAGTGACTTGTGAACTTTGACTCTCATTCGACCATCTTGACTAAAATCAAACTTCAAGTTGCTATACTCGCTAAACTACCGATTACTCAATATAGATTTATTGTTTGGTGATCTGCAATCATGAGGGTGTTTTAAGATCTTCACCTGATGGACATATAAATTATTCTGATTTTATAGGGCAGAGCCCATTCTTAGGAGGAAATAAATTTGACTTGTAACAGAAATGAAAAATGTAACTGTTAGAGGAATAATTTGAAAATATGGAATTTCTAACAGACAAGCACTTGAAATACCTAAGAGTGACCAAGGACTTTGCAAAACTAAATTCTCTGGAATGCTAAAATAATGACAAACCTGGGCTATCTGAAAAGAACTGTAGCCTGTTCCTCTAAGAGACTAGATTGGAACTAGAACTAGAGGCCTTCCTGCCTTCCTTCTTGCCTTAGAGACCTTCCATTCTTATTTTAAGAACATCCGAGTCTATGTAAATATTTGAATTTTGCTGAATCCAACAGGCAGGGAGGGGCTCAAAGGCCTGGTAAATTAGCCCTTTGAATTACATATGATTCATCCCATTGACATTTAGAGAGAGGAAGACAGAAGGAGGGAGGGAGAGAGAGAGGAGAACGTGGAAGATAGGGAAGTAGTACCACAGAATAAAAATAGCTATTATAGGCAAGAATTTAGTTAGGCAATTTGGATGATCTTGGATTATAAAAGGATCAAGGTGAAAACATACAGTTTAACCCTGAATTAGAATTTGGATGCTGTAGACGTAATAGAAGCTGGTCAGTCACAAGAAGAAAAAATACACTGTCTCTTAGTAGTTTGACCAGTACTCTAAGAATTAAATCTGACACATGATGATTTATGTGACTCCAACCTATATATCTAGGATAAAAATCTCCCTCTGGCCTTGGACCTTAAAGAAATTTCTAAATCTTCTCACCTCCGTGGCACTCTCAAATGCATGGGTCATAATTTTCTGTTTACTTAGATGGAGAAAACGAAGGACCAGGAAAGAAACAAAATTCCAAGCAGCTATTTTTTTGTTTGCTTGTTTTAAATTTTTGTATAATAGGAAAAGACAGATTTAAGAGGGCTAGAAGGAAAAAATAATGAGGTAACTAAGTGATGCTTGATCCAAAAGTATAAGAAAATAAACTGCATTTCTCCACACAGTTGGGCTTTTCCAAACCACTTAGCATCTAGGATAAAAGGGCTTCTTTCTTGGTATGCTACACTTCCTGTCTGCAACCCTTTCTTCCACCACCAGCTTAAGTGCTACAGGGCAAGAAACACAAAACCTGAAGGGGCCGAGAGTGAAGAAGAGTGAGCCAGGGAACAGATGTCACTGGTTCCACTGCGAGGTGAAATACTTTGCTGAAGGCGGGTCTTGACCACCGAGGCTAATGTCTGCCTTTACTCAACAGCCGCAAAAGTAGCCACCTGCACCTCTGAAAGCCCCACCCGCTGGCTCAGCTCAGATTGCCACCCCACTGCAGGGCCTTCTCCCAGCCAAGTATTTCATGTTTCCAGACCATTTCTGCTCATCAACTGTTTCTAGTTTTCTGGCAATAACATCAGAGTGGGGAGGGTACAAGTAAAGATCCTTTACAGTTCATTCTTTATCATTTGTGATATTTCAACCTCACCTCCACTGTCAGACAATTTGTCTCAGCAAGATTTCTGAGGAGCTTGGAAACCCTCTCCCTGCCCCCCCTACACAACAGTGGCCTTGCATTTGGTTGGAATGTCAGCTTACCACACCCAGTCTGCACTCTCCAGTCTCCAATCGGAATGCCAAGGGCTTGGCACACAAGGGCATAGGCTTGGATGGCTTGACAGAGGAGTGTCCCATTGTCCCTCACGCTGCACAGGTCATACACACAGCTGTGAATAAAGGCTGTGGAGTCCACGACGGTGCCACACTCCCACAGGGGGCCATCGGTCTTATTGAGGAAGCCACAGTAGTCGGAACCAAAGTAGAGGGTCTCTGTGGCCGCATCGCATTGGGTGCAGTTGTCCACGCAGCCTGAATCACACCTCCACTCGGCGTGGTAGACCCTCCAGCTCTCTCCTAGATCCAGGACAGACATGGCTGGCCTGCCGTCTGGGCGGAGGAAATCGTCCAGTGGGTTTTTATTGTAGTTCCCACAGAGCCCACACGTGGAGTTTATGTAGGAGCCTGGGATAGAAATGGAGGCGTAGTGCTTGCCATCGAAAGTCACTAAGAGCCCAAAATCCGTTTCCACAGCTGTAGACATGCCACTCTGGTAGATTTTCACTGCCCCCAAGTCTAAGGTGACGGGCAAAGAAGCCACCAGATCATTAACCTGCCAACAACAATAGTAAAAGGCAGGTGAGCAGGTGCCAAGCAATGGTTCCAGCTAATGTCCTCCAGAAAAGGGAGGCAGAGCAACTCAGTGTTCCAGAGAGAATGGTTCCCCCAAACTGCCCGAGCTTCTGTGGGCATCCTTCCTGTTACAGCAGAGGTCTGAGGAAGTCCCAAGATCAGGCTGGTGTGGATCATCTGAGCACTGGGTGCTACTTAGGCTGTGAGAAATGTGCATTGCTAGTGCCACTGTGACTCCCCCGGAGGAGCAGGTGGCTATCATTTCTTCCTGGAGTGCCAGCGCTAGCTAGCTTCAAGTCTCTTCTCGAGAGACTAGTTACCTTGCTTTTCCTCTTTTCTCTTCTAAACCCTTACTTTAAATTCCAGGTTAAGTTACACATATTCCACTGTACTTTTAATGCCTTTAGCACACCCTGACCCTTCCTCCCAGCTGACGTGTATACTATAAACTGTTCCACACAATTTAGCATTGATGTCCCTTGGTATTATTCTCTGAGTGTTTCACTTTCTGATGTGAGGATGATGTCATGGAATCATTCACCAAACAACAAATCTGACCACCTGTTGGGTACCTAGCACTATGTTAGGCACTGAGAAATAAGGAATAAAAAATTAATAATAATTGACCCTGTCTCTCATGAGCTCTCAATCTACTGAGGAAGAGATCCACACATTATATTTATAATATACTGTTTGAAGTGTGTGTCAATAGGTGATGCAATGGGAGAACAGTAAATTAGCATTTAATCCAGCCTAAGGAAGTCCTAGAAAGCTTCTTAGAGGGAGTTACATCTGATTGGGGTCTCTAAAGGTAAATGGAAGTGACCAAAGGAAGAGTAGGGGACAGGAAATACCAGGACAAAGAGATAAAGGCAGGGTGGGACAGTCATCTGAATGTTACCAGACTGCAGAAAGGAGGGGTAGACAGAGATGAAGCTGGAGACGGGAACAAGGTCCATTTGTTCAACAAACACTGATTTGGGCTTTTCTGTGTGTTGAACACTATTCCAAGAGCTAAGGATTAGCCATAAGTGGAGATCCCCACATCATGGAACTTGTTTTAGTTAAGGAGACCTACGACAAACAAAATAAATAAGTATAATATGTAAGTATGTCAGAAAATGTTCTGCAGAAAAATAAAACAGAGAATGTGGGTCACAAAGTACCAGGGAAGAGGGTTTCTAATTCCAAACAGGATAGTCAGGGAAGACTTCACTGGGAAGGGGACATTTGAGATGAGGAAGCAAACCATGCTGTGATCTGGTGAAAGTGGCTCAGGAAGAGCAGTCAGCCAGCCCCGCCCCCCGTGGAGTGTGCCAGGGAACTCCCAGGACCTCAGGAAGGCAGCGTGACTATGACAGAGTAAGAATAGCAGGTGATCTCAGAGTGATAAGAACAGCTAGAACAGACCAAGCCTTTCAGCCATTGTGAAGATTTTGGCTTTTGACTGAGCAAGAAGAAGAGCCAAGAGGGTGTCTGGAGTAAAAGGTCATCATGATCTGACTTCCATTTTTAGAAAATTGTGCTTCTGTGTTGGGAACACAGAAGGGCCTTTAAACCTGTGTTTTAAAACAAACCAAAATTCCACAAAAACAAACAAATAAAAAACTTGCATTCTTCTTCTGCAAGGTGAGCCCCAAAAGGTTTTAGAAAAGAAAATGACATAGGCAAACTTGCATTCATTCTAGCCAGCATGAAGAACTCACTGAAGTATGTTAACATTAGGAGAGAAACCAGACGGGCAACTGCTGCTGGAATCCAAGGTTCATGGAAGGTAAGGGCCTGAATACAGACTGACATGGAGAGTGAGGGACATGCTCATGGGGTACCCTCAGGACCTGGTGGGGTTTTGAAGTGGAGAGTGAGAAATGGGAGGGAAATCAAGAGTGAGGCCCTAGTCCGGCTCCCTTGAGTAGGTGGCTTGATAAGGCTGTTAATAGTGAGTTAATTTTCTACTTTTTCACATTTATCATGCCTAGTGCCTATAGATGTCCCATTGTGGGCTAGGATGGGACGGTGAGTCCTTGGAGGAATGGACTATAAGTGCACTTATGCTTCCTAAGCTGTCCTGGACCCACACTGATTTCTGGCATCCAAGAAGGACAAGAGTCTTTAGTGCCATCATTGTTCCTACTTTCTGAGTTGTCTAGGAAGTGAGACAATTAACCAAGCATCAGTGCCAAGATTTACCATGGCAGACAACATGTCACTTCTCTATCTCTAGAGATTACCAAGACTTGTTGGGAAAAGTGGACAAGAAAAATGTGCTCAAGAAATGCACTGTCCAGAGACCCAAGATGGCAGTGGAGTATAGGTAGAAGCTACACTCACTTCCTCCCAGGTCCAAACTGGAATTACAACTACAATACAGAACAATCATCCTCAACAACCAACTGAAGACTAGAGGAACAGAAATCTTATAACAAAGAGTTCACAAGAGACAACAGATAGAGACTAGTGGGAAGAGTGGAAAGCAAAAAGGGCCAGCCCCACTCCTGTGGTGATGGCTGAGATTCTATCTCAGCTACAGAGGTCCCAACTGAGGAGAAAGGGGTCTCAAGGCCAAGCTGGGCTCCCCGGCCCAGAGCACCAGAGTGGGAAGAGGTGCTGCACACATCTGGCTGTGAAAATCAGCAGGATTCTGTCCACAACAGGGAGAAGGGAGTCTGACAGACACATAGGCACCCTCTTAGAGCACCAGAGCATGAAATCTCATTGGAAGACATTCAACCTTGGCTCCAGCAAAGGGATGATAGGGCAGAGTAGAGAGTCTCATGAGGAAAGACTGGGAGTTGTGGCTCTGGGGACAGAGCTAAAAGAATAGCTGCCAGAGTTTCTGTGCTAAGTCCCTCTCCCACACTGCAGATGTCACCTTTCTTGGGTGAAGCACTTTCCTCCTTATGGCATCAGCCTTGGGGGACGCAACAGCCCCACCTTCTGGACCCCCTGACACTCCACCCTGTAGAGCTCATGTCCTTCTGAGGAGTCAGCTGCCTGGGCTGAGGTGTAGAGGTCAGGGCAGACTCAGGGAGTGTCAGTGACTGAATTGTGTAGCTTTGGGGTGGGTGACATTTCCCACACTTTTCCCCTCATGGGACATCCACTAGCCCCATCTTCTAGGCTCCAAATTGTTGAGAGCCAACCAATAGACATCCCTTGACACAGTCAGGACAGATGAGATGCATCTGCACAGCAGAGGCAACTGTGGCTGGATTTCCTGTCTACCTCTCCCTTGCATGTTTGTCTTTGTGATTAAAAGGTGGTGGGATTTTTAGGCACCTGTATTTCAGGTCCAATGAGCAGCATAATTCCAATGAAGTTGTACAAAATAATTTCTTGGCCAGAGAACAAAGTCCCCCCTAATGAAGTAGCCCCTGAATATCTAAAAGTTGATGGAGTAACAGCCCCTCCTCTACCTTGGACAGGAATATATATTAATTAGAAGTAGACAGGCAAAGAAACAGGAGAAGGTGGTTAGCTATTACAAACTAAGCAGGTAGAAACAATTACCAAGGAATCAGAGTCCATAGTACATAGAGAAACATTTTAGACAGAAAGATAGATAGCTAAGTTAGACATCACAAAGGCCTTATAATGAATTTTCTAACCTCTGCTCAGTCTAGCATACCCTTTTGCCCCATGCCAAATTCTAAGAACTTTAATAAACAATAAGACATTCAAACTCTGTACATAGAGCTATTTCAAATTGTCTGATTAATGGTTCCCCTGGTCAAAACAACTTTTGTTTAACATAACTGAAACTATGGAAATTCTTGTACTTTTCCTGGTTACCTCTGCATTGTTTTTTTCTGCTTAACTGATCACACCATGCATCTGTTCCTTTAATGTTATACAACAATCTCTATAAAAATAAAGTCTAAATCAAACTCTGAGAGTTTGGTCAGACCCACAAAGGCTGGCTGTTCTCCAGCATCCAATCGGGTGTCTGACTCTTCATGCGTCGTCTGCGCCATCCATCCTTTGGGGACCCTGAACCCTGCTGAGGCTGGACCCCAGCACCAAATGGCCCCACCCTGCTGAGCATGGTCATTCTAGGAGGTCTGTGCAGAATCCAAGACAGACTGTTTTGTGTGGTTCTGAAGCGGAAACCATTCTCCCCACTATCCTCCAAGCCTGATCTGTGCCTTACCCTCATTAGAGAAGCAGTGGTCCCACCCTCTTGACTCCTCACAGCCCTTCCCTGCTGAACTAGGACTCCTGGGAGAATCTGAGGCAGACTGAGTTGTTTGGCTCTAGGATGGATGGTCATCATTTTTCCCTAGCACACCTGATTGGTGCACAGCTTTCCCTACACACAGTCAAGCCTTGGAGTGTTTGGGCCTGATAAACTCAACTGGTCTCACCTTGATGACTCCCTGAGACCCTGCCCCACCATAATGATCTGCAGGCACCCCATGGGTGGCAGCTAGACTTGGTGTGCCCTGGGACTTTTGCTGAGTGGCCTTGGACCCAGCAGTGGAACCGAGTTTAAACAGAGAATCTCCCTGATGCAATTCAAGTATTGCCAGAGGCTGTTTCAGTGACTGAGCCTAACAGACAGCCAGCAGGCGGAGGCAGGTGGAGGTAGGTGGAGGCAGGTAGAGGTGGATCTCAGAGTGCCTTGGGAATTTTGCTGACTTGCCCCATGCTCAATGCTGGTGGAAGCCAACCTAGATGTAAAGCTTGGTTGTTCCTACATACACCAAGGCCTTGTAAGACAGCCACAAACTGTGGATCATTTTGTAGCTCCAAATAAGTTGCCTAGGGCTAGTCACAGGTGGTGACTGACATTGACCTGCATCAGAGTACTTCCTAAAGGCACCAGAACAGACACACCCAGTGGCCAACTTCTGACCGTATCAGAGAAGCATCCAATTAGATTCATAGGCAGAACATCAAAAGGGGCATCTTGACAGGCACCAGAACCTGCTGAGGCAAATTCCACTTTGGATAGTCAGCACCACAAAACAACTCCTACAT